GTTAATTTTCCCCATTTTGCAAATATGTCTTTTTAAAAGTCCAGTTATTTTCCTCAGCTAAAGACCAGCCTGCCAACTGAGTGCTCCATTGTGCAAGTTATCTTTGTTCCAATTTCCCTCTTATCTTTAAAACTCTCCTCAAAGTGCCTTCTAAAAAAAATCTCCCAGAGAATCTGACCACTGCAGGTACTGTCAGAAAGTCATGACCGATGTCTAACTTACACAATTTAGCAGGCTACGTTGTTTGCTGTGCCTCCTTAGAGCCTTTGGCATCTTCTGCCACTTGCAATGATTAGGACTTCTGTTGCACCATAGTTCCCTTTCAGATAGGACAAGCCGGGAGGTGGGAGAGGGCTTTGGAGGAGGGGAGGAGGGGGCTGTTGGCTTGAGAGCCTGAAGCCTGTGAGGAAATTCTTGGAACAAGGAGAGATTGCTAGAGAATGGGCTCTTTCAAGACCTCTATCAAATCCTGCAGGCAGTGAAATGAAGGCGGGGCAATTCTTTTGTTAGTGTTAACTTTTCCTTTAACTGTACTTTTCAAGACCTGCAGCTGTTTGCAAAATCAAAGTTTACTATCTTGAAAACGACAAGAAATCTGCCTTAAAAGATCAATAGGTTGCACAGCAGTTACCATGTTTCCTATCAATATTTGACCATTGAAAATGAAAGGATTTTGAGAAGGATCTTTTTAAAAGACTGCCTCATAGACTGGCTACCATAGACATGGATTTTGCTTCTATACAGAAATCACTTCATATCACTGCCACGTCAACAAGGCTATCACGCAACCTGAGTTTAGACTACAGCAATTAACCGCCAAGCCCTAGGTGGAGGCAGACATGCATAAAGATAAGGTTTCCTTCAAAGTGAACAAAACATGGGTGATTTCATAGCCAATGTCCATGGTTTCTTGGCAGCAGTACAGAAATGATATGCCTTTGTTTCCTTCCAGAATGTTTTTTTTTTCAGTCAGATTGTTCTGGTATTCTCCGAAGTTCTAAACTTGAGGCTGCACAGGATGAGCTGTAAAACAGCAAGAGGATGGCAGAATTTTTCACCTGAGATGTGGAAAAAGCTAAAAAAGCCAAAGATGGATGGTGTACCTCAACAAGATATTGGGAAATGGGAGAAGCAGAGATTTGCAAAATGCCAGATAGTATGGAAAGCATAATGAGGAAGAAAAGTTATCAAACCACACACCCCCAAACCCCACCCCCACACACAAGACCATCCAATGCAGATTAGCAGCAGTAGTTTTAAAACTTAAAAGTATTTAATTCAATTTATAATAAACATATGGAATTTATTTATAAAATATGTGAGCTGCATCTAAAACAGTGTTTCTCAACCTTGGCAACTTGAAGATGTCCGGATTTCAACTCCCAGAATTCCCCAGCAGTGGTTAGGACAGTGTTTCTCAACCTTGGCAACTTGAAGATGTCCGGATTTCAACTCCCAGAATGTCCGGACACAACTCCCAGAGTTGGGAGTTCAACTGGGAGTTGAAGTCCGGACATCTTCAAGTTGCCAAGGTTGAGAAACACTGATTTAGGCTATAGCAATGTGTATTTATACTCTATATAACTGTCATTGGCTAACTGGGAGTTGAAGTCCGGACATCTTCAAGTTGCCAAGGTTGAGAAACACTGATCTAAAAAGTACACATTAGCAAATATGTAAGTGTGCTAATAATATCCATAGTTAATATCCATAATATTTATGCAGAAAAAGTTGAAAAACAAGATTTCTGAGTTCTGAGATGCCATGTGGCGAGTTGGGTAAAAGGCCAATATTATCATGCCTTAATCCCATCCCCCTGGAGCTGAAGGGGAGAATTCTTTATTATGTAAAGTGGACTAGCTCAGGCTTTAATAGCTCATTGACAAAGGGGGATGGGCAGGAAGCTGCAGGAAGCTATTCTGTCTTTTAAAACAGGTTTCTTCCTTTTCACATCCAGAGAAATATTCTGCCTTTTCAATATTCCCTAGGATATTTCATTTTTTCTGGGAGAGAGGCTGGGTGATAACTTCCTACAATACCTTGGGACTTGGCCGCTAACTTCCACCTAAAAGAGAATCAGGTCCATTTAAGAAAATATACAGTTAGTCTCGGACTCAAATTTTCCATTTCTAACAAGGTGGTTAAGTGAGTTTTCCCTGTTTTAGGACCTCAGGAAAGTGCCTCAGGAGTACCAACTGATTACATTATTTAATCAAAGGAATTTGGCGCATGCTAACCCTGTAAGATCTAAATCGGGTTCCCAAACTTTGGGTTGCGGCCCAGAACCGGGCTGCAGAAATGCTGGGTGAGCATGCACACACCTGCAGCTTCACTTGCGCACACAACAGGGGGCACACATGCTCACCTGCCACTCGCACAGAACCAGGTCTCTCCCCCCACCACTGCCTTTTTACAAAGCTGGAAAGGTTAGAGATCTAAGTGGTTGGGCATATATTATGGGAAATAAAAGATCCTTCAGGCCCTATTCCATGATAGTCAACATGCTACAACTAATTAGTTTAGTTTCTGCAATAATGTTGTGATGGGCAGGTACTTTTCTTACTGTTGTGAAGTGCTAAACTATTTCCCTCATTTGGCAGGCCTGTAGTGCTAGTACCAGATCCAGATCTAAGAGCCAAGGTGGCGCAGTGGTTAAATGCAGCACTGCAGGCTACTGCTAGATCAGCAGTTCAAATCTCACCGGCTCAGGGTTGACTCAGCCTTCCAAGGTGGGTAAAATGAGGACCCAGATTGTTGGGGGCAATATGCTGACTCTCTGTAAACCGCTTAGAGAGGCCTGAAAGGCCTATGAAGTGGTATATAAGTCTACTGCTATTGCTATTGCTATCTACGAGACAACAAGGCCATGGGAGCGGTGAGTGCTGCCATGTGTGCACTGGACCTGTGCCCCTCCTGGCTGGTCGCGAACAGCAAGGAGGTGACATGGGCCTGGATCCAGGCGATGGTGAATGCCTCTCTTTGGGAGGGCTTCTTTCCTCCGGCATTGAAGACAGCGGTGGTGTGACCCCTCCTGAAGAAGCCATCTCTGGATCCAGCCATTTTGAACAACTACCGTCCAGTCTCCAACCTCCCCTTTGTTGGGAAGGTTGTTGAGAAAGTGGTAGCCTTTCAGCTCCGACGGTCCTTGGATGAAGCTGATTATCTGGATCCCTTTCAGTCTGGATTCAGGCCTGGCTTCAGCACGGAAACTGCTTTGGTCGCACTGACCGATGATCTCTGGAGAGCCAGGGATGGAGGTCATCCCTCCATCCTAGTGCTTCTTGACCTCCCAGCGGCCTTCGATACCATCGACCATGGTATCCTTCTGCAATGGTTGCGAGAGGTGGGGGTGGGAGGCACCATTTTTCGGTGGTTCTCCTCCTACCTCTTGGACAGGTCGCAGTTGGTGTTGGTCGGGGGGCAGAGGTCGACCCCTAGGCCCCTGAAATATGGGGTCCCACAGGGTTCATTCCTGTCCCCCCTCTTGTTTAACATCTACATGAAGCCATTGGGTGAGATCATTTGGCGGCACAGGATAAAATACCATCAGTACGTGGACGACACCCAGTTGTATTTGTCCGCCCTGTGCCAACTCAGTGAAGCGGTTGATGTGATGTGCCAGTGCCTGGAGGCTGTCAGGGTCTGTAGGGGGGTTAACAAGCTTGCGCTCAATCCAGACAAGACCGAGTGGCTGTTGTGTTTCCCTCCCAAAAATTTGGCTAGTACTCCATCACTCAGGCTGGGGGGTGAAATTTTACGCCCCTCAGGGTTCGCAATTTGGGAGTCCTCTTGGACCCACAGCTGACCTTAGAACATCATTTGTTGGCTGTGACCAGGGGGGGCATTTGCCCAGGTTCGCCTGGTGCACCAATTGCGTCCCTACCTGAACCGGGAGGCACTCGCAACAGTCATTCATGCCCTCGTGATCTCAAGATTGGACTACTGCAATGTGCTCTACATGGAGCAGCCCTTGAAGAGCATTTGGAGACTTCAGCTCGTCCAGAATGCAGCCGTGCGAGCGATTGTGGGTGCACCTCGGTACACCTACGTTACACCTATCCTCCACAAGCTGCACTGGTTACCGATTAGTCTCCGGATACGCTTCAAGGTGCTAGTTATTACTTATAAAGCCCTTCATGGTATTGGACCTGGGTACTTGAGAGACTGCCTGCTGCCAATTACCTCTCAAAGACCCATTAGATCACACAGAGCAGGCCTCCTCCGGGTCCCATCTACCAGCCAATGTCATTTGGCTACTACCCGGAGGAGGGCCTTCTCTGTGGCGGCTCCGGCCCTTTGGAACGAACTCCCCGCAGAGATTCGGACCCTCACCTCTCTCCAGGCCTTCCGAAAAGCCGTTAAAACCTGGCTGTGTCGGTAGGCCTGGGGTCGATGAGTTCCCTTCCCCTCTCGAATCGTGTGGTTGTTGGTTGTTTTTAAATACCCTGTACTTTTGTAGTTTTTGTGTTGTTCCCTTCCCCTCCTTGGGTTTGTGCACCGCCCTAAGTCCCACCGGTCCTTATTTATTTATATAAATAAAATGAAACTCAAACTCAAACAGGGACCTCTGATCTACAATTCTCAGATGCAATTTTTTTTGCTACCTAGTTCTTAACTATCTTACCCATAGAGCAAAAAATTGATTATTTCATTAAGCGGGGACCAAATTCAGAAAGGCTGTTTTGAAAACTAAAGGGGAGGACTGGAGCAGATGAATTTAATAGTTTTATCCTTTTAATAAAAATATTAGTAGGGTTCCTACATGGCTTCATGGTAGATAGAAGTGCAACAACTGTAGTACTGATGGTAAATGCAATATTTATCATACAAATATTGAAGGCAAGGAAGCATCCCATTGCAAATGGGATTGGGAATACATTTTAAAACTAGCACCATTATGTCTATGGTGTGCCCCTGCAATTGCATTAATTAACATATTAGATAAGTAGCAGTAATATTTGTTCTTTAAGTGAGTGAGATAACACACATACCTTAGTTCCAATCAGTTATCAATAGGAGCTTCACCAACATCTGAAATGACAGGTTTCTACAGGGCACCTTGCTACATATGCAACTTTCTTAATTAACGCCTACATCTGCCTGATTCAAACTAAGGATCTCAAAATGTTTTCACTAAATCAGTATTTTCCTTCTACCCAATTTCTCTGCATCAATTACTGATGAAATGATAAATTGTGGGGGGAGGGGGGACGAGAAAGTTAACCCCTTTGCTTTGAAAAAAAAAAAGTATAAGACGCAAATAAGTCTTCAGAAAACTCTCCTCCACGCAAGTTACAGCTTTTAAAGGCGAGCGCCTTTTTCAGTTCAACGTTTTCAGAATTTTCTTAGGGCTTCGTTGAACTAGGGGATAAAAGGAAAACTACATTACCCACAATCCCTTGCCCTCACGGAAACTTTGAGAATGCAGCTCGGGTTTCCACAACTTTGTGGTTTCCCTCGCTTGCGAAGATAGCGATTATTTCCGATGCAACCCAGAAGTGGAGCGGCAGAGCTCCCCGGAGGCGGGATGGCGGCTCGGACCGCGCTGCTCTTTCTCCTGGGAGCGGCGGGAGTGGGTCCAGTGCCCTCCCAAGGCTCGCCGGGGGACCGAGAGCCCGTCTACCGTGATTGCGTGGCTCACTGCGAGAGGCGCAACTGCTCTGAGGCCGGGCTGCGGCACTTCCGCTCCCGCCAGCCACTCTACATGAGCCTCACAGGTACGGAACGGCCCCAGCGGAGATTACCTACGCCGAAGCAGGGCCACGCCCACACTGGGGATCAAGCGCGGGGTGTTTCGAAATGCCTGATTTGCATAGCCCCGCCCATCAGGGAGGGCCCCCGCCCAGTGCTTGGCAGGCAGGTGGTTCCTTTGGTGGTGTCGCCAAGTCTGCTTGGATGCTTTCCCGCCGTCACTTCTTCCTTGGGTCGCCATAGTAATGTTGGAGAAGAGTGTATCTGACTGTTCTCACATTAACAGGAACCATCCCGTAGAAGTAGCCAGTATTCATGGAATGCGCTGAGCCAGGAATCAGGCTGTCATATTTAACCTAGTGTTTGTTGTAGGAATCCACCCTACCTGGTTATTTTATTGGTGGATCTCCTGCACTGTGCCGTTTAGTTAATTCGGCTGTGATTCAGTTAATTAGGGACAAGTTAATTGTTCAAATGAAACCAATATGTATTCTGGTGTAACATCTATCCACTTAGGTCTGCAAACTGTGATAATGTATGCATGGAAGAGCTTTTGCACATCTCTCTCTTATTCCCTTGCCTGGAAGAATAAATAGTGAAACTACAAAAAAACAAAGTGGTTACATTTTTAGGTGGTTGAATAGTTTACAACTTTCAAGTTGATTAAAGGCAAATAAGAAAACTGTTAAATTCACAATGATTGGTAAAAATATTATTGACCAATTTGTATGGGATGTCAACAATGGCAACACCTGACTAGATAGATTTTCAGGGCTGCAAAGATAAACTTGAATTGGACCTGGGTAGACTGCAATGAATTGTGGACAATCCTTAAAAACATTGCTGTGGCAGTCCATTTGTTATAATGGAATATGAAGCAATTAAATGCTTCAAAATTAGGAATAGTATGTGTCATCACTATATTCTGTTACCTTATTTGTTTAATATATGCAGAATATATTGTGAATAATGTTTGATAAGAACAAATATAAGCTGAATTAAAATTACTTGAATAATTAGTCACCTCAGGTACATTGATATCAATGCCATTTTGATGACTGGAAATAAGTTTTTCTTAAAGGAGACCGAAGAAAGTACAAAAATTGATCTGAGACTTGGTATTAAAGAGACTAAGCGTTTGTCAGTACCATCCCAATACAAATAAGCAGAGAAAAAGTTGATGCATTGTAATAACATACTTTATATTCCTAGGCTTGAAGATTTGCAGGTATTGCAATTGTGAAACAAGGAAATATCTACTTGGGAGAAGGTCCATAACATATCTAGGCAAAATATTGAAATGTGGGATATCACCCTGGCAGTGGTGGGTTCCGGATTCTGCTTGGAACGGCCCTGGCATCACAACGTGGATGCGCATGGCTCACACGCACACATGTTGTACTTGCCTGTGATGCTTCCGCAAACCTCCGTGATGCTCCAGCTGCTCGGCGGAGTGTTGCGCAGGCGCCATTTTACAACCTTTTTTGCCGTGGTTGTTAAACAAATCACTGCAGTTCTTAAGTGAATCACATGGTCATTAAGTAAATCTATTTTCTCCATTGATTTGCTTGTTGGAAGCTGGCTGGGAAGGTTCAAAATGACTCCAGATGCTGTGTAAATACTTGCTGGTTGATAAATGCTGAAATTTTGATCACATAATTGTGAGAATGCTGCAATAGTCATAAGTTCCAGGACCAGTCATGTTACTTTTCTCAGTGCTATTGTAACTTTGAATGGTCTCTAAACGGACAGTTGAAGCTACTTGTATTAGAATGGGAGACTTCCATTGAATTCCAGAGCTGTAGGCCAGGGGTGTCAAACTCATTTTCATTGAGGGCTGCATCAGGGTTGTGTTTGACCTTGGGGGTCTGGGTGGACGGGGTCTGGGTAGGTGTGGCCAGCTTGACATCACTTGTGTCGGGAGCTCCTGTGGTGACCTGAGCGCTCTGCCAGTGAAAACAGACTCGTTTTTGGCTGCAATGGTCTCCTGCAACCCTCTGCCAGCAAAAAGCTCTAGTTTTGCTGGCAAAGGCACTGTGGGCTGGTCCTTCACTGTTTCCAGGGCAGCCTCGCAGGCCATATCTAAGCACCCCACAGACCGGCTCCGTCCCACGGGTCTTGAATTTGAGTACAACAGTCTGTTTGACTGTTGAGTACAACAGTCCTTGCTGTTAACTAAACAGGGATGTCAGGAAAAAATCCCCAAAGAATACAATGGCAAACCACTTCTACATTAGTGAAAAGAATTTTCCCTATTTATTTAATTTCTCTCTTCCTGGGAGTCAAGCTTACCCTGAAGATTTTGTTTTTCAGTTTATAGCTGAATGTGCTACATGAGCATAGTGAGTATAATTAGTTTATGGTACAATAGTTTGAGCTAAACCAGCCAATTGGGGAATATAATAAGCCATTGTTAAGTATACTTTGGGTTAGTATTGTAATCCTACTTAAATGTTTTTAAAGCTTATCTGAGTAAACATACCTCCCAGTTGGCTTTTCCTGATTGAATTTATTTCTCCCAGGTTTCTTTATGGTTTACATTTATATAGTAAAAAATCTCATTGTAGAATCCTATCTATGCAGTTTAGCCCTTTGTCAACCTTTAAGTTCATTTGAGGTTATAGTGTTACATGAAACGAGTCACAGTTCTTTAATCAGTTCTTTGTGAGTAGTATAAAAGATTTACATGCAATTGGATCCTGTATATATGTATATATATTCAATTTCACTTTAAAAAAACACACATTGTCCTAAGTAAATGTATTGTAATATTTAGAGTGCTGAACTATAGCTGAGAAGATCAAGTTTCAAATCCTTATTTATTATCAAACTCACAGAATAATTTTTAGCTTTAATCTACTTCTCAGGGTTGCTGTGAAATAGTAATAATAAACTCGATTACAGTCACTGATCAGTTCAAAATGAAAAACAAATTCTGAGGCCACAAACAAAGTTCATTATAAAACTTAATAATTATAAAAGTGAGATGGTTGAAGTACTGCTATTTTATTTAAAACAAAATAGAACCTAGCTATGTTTTGAGCAATCAATCCACATTCATCAGAGAATCACAACAGTAAATAAAATGGATCTGTGTGATTTGGGAATCTAACTAGACAGAGAGTTATTATGCTGTTTCCCCGAAAATACAAACTGTCCTGAAAGTAACGCCTTGCCACATTTTTCGCATGGGCAAAAATATAAGCCCACCCCCCCAAAATAAGCCCCCTGGACAACCCCCCCTCCGGCCAGGCAGAGCACTGCTCACCGACCTANACACAACTCCCAGAGTTGGGAGTTCAACTGGGAGTTGAAGTCCGGACATCTTCAAGTTGCCAAGGTTGAGAAACACTGATCTAAAAAGTACACATTAGCAAATATGTAAGTGTGCTAATAATATCCATAGTTAATATCCATAATATTTATGCAGAAAAAGTTGAAAAACAAGATTTCTGAGTTCTGAGATGCCATGTGGCGAGTTGGGTAAAAGGCCAATATTATCATGCCTTAATCCCATCCCCCTGGAGCTGAAGGGGAGAATTCTTTATTATGTAAAGTGGACTAGCTCAGGCTTTAATAGCTCATTGACAAAGGGGGATGGGCAGGAAGCTGCAGGAAGCTATTCTGTCTTTTAAAACAGGTTTCTTCCTTTTCACATCCAGAGAAATATTCTGCCTTTTCAATATTCCCTAGGATATTTCATTTTTTCTGGGAGAGAGGCTGGGTGATAACTTCCTACAATACCTTGGGACTTGGCCGCTAACTTCCACCTAAAAGAGAATCAGGTCCATTTAAGAAAATATACAGTTAGTCTCGGACTCAAATTTTCCATTTCTAACAAGGTGGTTAAGTGAGTTTTCCCTGTTTTAGGACCTCAGGAAAGTGCCTCAGGAGTACCAACTGATTACATTATTTAATCAAAGGAATTTGGCGCATGCTAACCCTGTAAGATCTAAATCGGGTTCCCAAACTTTGGGTTGCGGCCCAGAACCGGGCTGCAGAAATGCTGGGTGAGCATGCACACACCTGCAGCTTCACTTGCGCACACAACAGGGGGCACACATGCTCACCTGCCACTCGCACAGAACCAGGTCTCTCCCCCCACCACTGCCTTTTTACAAAGCTGGAAAGGTTAGAGATCTAAGTGGTTGGGCATATATTATGGGAAATAAAAGATCCTTCAGGCCCTATTCCATGATAGTCAACATGCTACAACTAATTAGTTTAGTTTCTGCAATAATGTTGTGATGGGCAGGTACTTTTCTTACTGTTGTGAAGTGCTAAACTATTTCCCTCATTTGGCAGGCCTGTAGTGCTAGTACCAGATCCAGATCTAAGAGCCAAGGTGGCGCAGTGGTTAAATGCAGCACTGCAGGCTACTGCTAGATCAGCAGTTCAAATCTCACCGGCTCAGGGTTGACTCAGCCTTCCAAGGTGGGTAAAATGAGGACCCAGATTGTTGGGGGCAATATGCTGACTCTCTGTAAACCGCTTAGAGAGGCCTGAAAGGCCTATGAAGCGGTATATAAGTCTACTGCTATTGCTATTGCTATTGCTATTGCTGACTCTAGGGGGCAGTGCTCATCTCTATTTCCTAGCCAAGGGAGCCAGCATTGTCTGAAGACATTTCCAGGG